GATCTCCTGGAGAAGGGAATGGCAACCTACTGCAGTTTTCTTGCCTGGAGAATTCCATGGGCAGAGGAGCCTGGCGGGCTATAGCCCATAGGGTCGCACAGAGTTGGACACAACTGAAGCGAATATGCACACACATTTCCCTGGACCTCAGCCTTCAGAGGACTGCCACTCTGCCCCGCTGTGACAGGCTGCTGGCAGGAAACCCTGCCAGAGGCAGGGAGGACCCTGCTGGGTGAGATGTGTCTCTTGGCACATGACAGACACACCGCTTTGGGGGAAGTTCTACTTACAAAGAGTTTCCAGAGAAAGTAACAATTTCTTATAATTTAGCAATAGGCACTGAGCACAAAGTCAGAAATTAATGAATTTGCAACGTCCTTTTGGACAGAAATATGATGCGTCAAACGCTTCCTTGGTGGTTCAGTGGTAAAGAACCCGCCTACCAAGGCAGGGGATGCTGGCTTGATCTCTGGGTCCAGAAGATCCCCAGGAGAAGGAAATGGTAACCACTCCAGTTTTCTTGCCTGGATAATTTCATGAACAGGGGAGCCTGGCAGGCTACAGTCCATGGGCTTGCAAAGAGTGGGACAGGACTGAGTGACCAACACTTTCACTTTATGCCTCTCTGAGGCATCTTAAATTTAAGAGAACATATGAATTTGCACAAACAAACACTGACTTGGTCAGTTAGTGCCTTTTTGGATTTTATTTTTTTCAATAATATTTGAAAAGATTACAAATGTAATGCCCATCATAGAAAATTTATAAATACATAAGTACGAGAAGAGTCCATCAGTATCTTTTGCCTTTGATGTTACTGCATTTTTTTCTAGAAACACATACTTTTTTGTACATGCATGTATTTTATATCTGCCTATGCCATAGTTTTACTAAATTGGCCAGGTTTTATCTACATATATCTATGTCTATATACACACCTGCTTTTTTCTTTCTTCACTTTGTATTACACACTTTCTCTAATCACTTTCTATTCATTAAAACCTGATTTTATGAGCAGTAGAGATTCCAAATGATGCATTATATCCGATCATTTTTATAGCTATAAAGCTAGAATTCTATCTGTTTACATCCTCATTAAACTTGATAATGTATTTTCTGGCACTTCAAAATAGTTTTGTATTATGTAGGAGCATAGTTTGAAGGAAAACTTTTGAAAAACTATAATTTGGTTGAAGTAACTTTGAAGCCTCTTTATAAACAACAAAGTTCCTTTGTATTTTAACTTATGATGGTTTCAGCAAAACTTTCTTAAATAAATTCTTTGTTCCCCCCTTAAAAGAATATTGTAAGAAAAACAATCAAACTGTATAGATTTTCATTTAGACTTCTGGAAAAAATCGTTACAATTCCATTAATCATTTTAACCTCCTCAACTTAGGAAAGCATTTCTGATATCACAAATTACAACATGAAGTATAGCATTCTAAGGTGGAAAATCACACACCATAACGTTCCATGGAAGCAGCTAACACTGTGGAAGAAGGGCTCTATCTTCGGATGATGTCCATGAATGTTATCTTCTGACCCCTGGCTTCTCTGGCCCCTGTCAACTCCTCCCGCACGTGTTGGCAGAGTTGGGGAAAGGGTTCGGTGTCAGGGCAGAATCTTACTAAGTGAGACACCAGTGCAGGCGTGGAAGCCATCAGAGGAATGTGCTTCAAAATCCAAGCCACAGACTAGAGGGAAAACCTGGAAGTCCGAGTGAATTTAACCTTAAAGTTTTTCTTCCTTTCCTTTTTCCTTCCTTCCTCTCTCTCTTTCTCTCCCTCACTCCCATATTCTTTCTTCTTTCTTTTTCTCTCTCCTTTTCTTTCCCTCTCTCTCCACCCGCTTTCCCCCCTGACGTCACTCTCTTTCTCTCTCTCTCTCCCTCTCTTTCTCCTTTTTTCTCTCTCTTTCTTCTTGGCCAAGGCTAACATCATATTACCGTGTGTGTGTGCTCAGTCGTGTCCATCTGTTTTGTAACCCCATGGACTACAGCCTGCCAGGCTCCTCTGTCCATGGGATTTCCCAGGCAAGAATACTGGAGTGGGTTGCCATTTCCTTCTGCAGGGGATCTTTCTGACCCGGGGATTGAACCTACATCTCTTGCATCTCCTTCACTGGCAGGATGATTCTTTACCACTGTGCCACCTGGGAGCCCATAGTATTGGATTTTTACAAGTTGGATTTCCCAAGTGGCCTGGGCCCGTCCATCCCAGAGGTTCTGAGTCATTAGGATGCACATGAGACTCAGGCGACCATGACCACAGGGCAGATCGGGGACCACTATATTCTCACATACAGGCTTTTCTTCCTTCCAGTTTTACTGAGCTTGCTTCCCAGGGTACAGCAGTGTGGGGACTGGGCCCCATGATGTACAGTGCCTCAAAGGAAACTAGAAGAACCCATATACCTTTGTTTGGCCATCTTTAACTTACTTGATACTGAACATGTTCAGAACTCATCATGGTCTGGTGCGCAGAAGAACCAGGTGGGATAACTGAAGTGCCTGACACCCCTTCGTATAATACCTGGTACATGGTAGGTGCTGGCCAACTGGTCCATTATCTCCCTCACTCCCATATTCTTTCTTCTTTCTTTTTCTCTCTCCTTTTCTTTCCCTCTCTCTCCACCCGCTTTCCCCCCTGACGTCACTCTCTTTCTCTCTCTCTCTCTCCCTCTCTTTCTCCTTTTTTCTCTCTCTTTCTTCTTGGCCAAGGCTAACATCATATTACCGTGTGTGTGTGCTCAGTCGTGTCCATCTGTTTTGTAACCCCATGGACTACAGCCTGCCAGGCTCCTCTGTCCATGGGATTTCCCAGGCAAGAATACTGGAGTGGGTTGCCATTTCCTTCTGCAGGGGATCTTTCTGACCCGGGGATTGAACCTACATCTCTTGCATCTCCTTCACTGGCAGGATGATTCTTTACCACTGTGCCACCTGGGAGCCCATAGTATTGGATTTTTACAAGTTGGATTTCCCAAGTGGCCTGGGCCCGTCCATCCCAGAGGTTCTGAGTCATTAGGATGCACATGAGACTCAGGCGACCATGACCACAGGGCAGATCGGGGACCACTATATTCTCACATACAGGCTTTTCTTCCTTCCAGTTTTACTGAGCTTGCTTCCCAGGGTACAGCAGTGTGGGGACTGGGCCCCATGATGTACAGTGCCTCAAAGGAAACTAGAAGAACCCATATACCTTTGTTTGGCCATCTTTAACTTACTTGATACTGAACATGTTCAGAACTCATCATGGTCTGGTGCGCAGAAGAACCAGGTGGGATAACTGAAGTGCCTGACACCCCTTCGTATAATACCTGGTACATGGTAGGTGCTGGCCAACTGGTCCATTCCCCCGGTGGGAGAGTTCTAAGTGGCTGAATTAAGAACCACAGCCCAGGGACTCCCCTGGTGATGCAGTGATTAAGAATCTGCCTTGCAGTGCAGGGGACGTGGGCTTGATCCTTGGTTGGGGAACTAAGATCCCACATGCCGTGAGGCAACGAAGCTTGTACACTGCAACTTGAGCCCGGGCTCTAGAGACTGTGAGCTGCAACTAAGACCTGATATGAGGCAGATAAATAAATATTAATTTTTTTTTAAAAGATCCTCCCAAAAGGCAAAAGCTCCTATGAATCAGGGAGAGATTCAAGACAGAGAGCACTGACCCAGGACAGGAGAGAAGGCAGTGCTGGGGGTTTGCTTCTCAGAGTGGAAGGTCACAGTCAAAGAGGCAATGAGCCTGCGTCTGCTAAATTATAGGTAAGTTTAAATGGGAACACACAGTTACAGAAGCTGTAGGAGGGCCTGGAGCAGCCCTCGGGGACCACAAACAGCTCGAGAACCGAGCCTACAGAAATGCTAATGCTGACACATTTGGGTTACAGGTAGGAATTATATTTCAGGATGCATTTCCATTAATCCTGACTCAATAAAATAGTTCCTTTAACAGTCACTCAAAGTAAAACGATTTCAAAAATAGTTTAGAAAATAGCATGCTGTGATCTAAATAGATACTTTTGCATATTTATTTTGATTAAAAACCTGGTAAGGGGGCATGCTGGGGATTCCATTCTACTTTCTCAGTCATCCACTCCCGAGAACATTCAGATCTTGGGTCCACAGGGCCATGAGGAGCTGGAGATATGACCACAGTGGCCAGGGCGAGGTTGGGAACATGACCACAGTGTCAGAGGAGAGGCCAAACCTCAGTAGCAGGGGTTTCCAGCAACCACAGGATGGGTGCTTTTTCACATTACTCCCTCATTTGGGGGCCTTGTGGGTGAGGGGTTCTGCCTCCCAGAGGAGCTCCCGGAAGAGGGGTGGAGGCCTTTCTAGAGTCATAGCCCACGGGCCTTTACTGCAGGGCAACCAGCTGACTTACAGCTGCCAGAGGTAAAGGCCATTTCATTTTGGAGATGTCTCGCCAGCTGGACGGCTTTCTGAGTTCATCAGAATCGTCCCCCAAGGTCCAACTTCTAATGTTGTTCTGTTGGAAGGGCTGTGAATCACTCCATTTTCCATCAATAAGGGCAAGACTGCATATCCAAAAGTTCCCCAAAGAGCTATAAAATACGTTGGGGTTTTGTGCCTCTCTCCTCAGCTTCCCCTCTCAGACCACACCTATTCTGTGCAACTGTTCCACCTGCAAGGTGCCTGCCTGAAGACCTCAACAGATGTGCGAATCCACACAGAAGAATCTGCGCCTGCATCTGACTCGATTCTGTGAGCTGTCAACTCAGAGCCTGCCTGGGACTCAAGGGCCTCTTCCTCTTTTTGAAATTTCCTATCTTGGCTTGGCTGGAGAACATGAGGGGAATCATTTAATGCTCCACTGTCTCAGCTATGAAATACCCAAGGGAAAACTGTGCAGATGCATGAGTGATTTGACCGTGTGCTAGAATCACAGAGCTCTGTACCTGCAGACACAGACAAAACATGCTGTAATTAGGGGAGGGGATAATTGCATGCAGCTGCGAGTCACCAATATCACCTGATCTTGGGATTTCTTTTTCTTCTTCTTCTTTCCCCAGCACCCGGAACTCTCCGCATCTTTGCCATTGGCCTCACCGCAGAGCAGCCCGTCCAGCTCATCGGTGCCCATGTGCTGTCCCTGAGACGTTTCTGCTGCCAGCCGGTACGAAAGATTCCTTAAAATGCACACACAGTTTTCAACGGTCTGGAGAATAAAAACAAAACGAAACAAAAAACGAGGGATGAATAAAAACTAACCAGTACTTCACCCGCAAAAGCCATCTATCTTCACACAGACATTTTTTTCTTTGGGTGCATTTAACCGCGGCTCCTAAAGTCTCCCTTGACAGCCACAATGGAAAGAATTTAGAGAAGCTTGGAGAAGTCTGAAGATCTTTCCTCCCAGCAAAGAAACCACTTAGCAACAAGAGTTCCTGATAAACAGCTATCGTTGTTGACTGAAATTCACTTGTGAGCAAGAAAGAACCCATATCCAGGCACGGTCCCAGGTGGCGTCCACTTACAGACAACAGCCATCTGGGGACTAAGGCTCAGAACCATCAAGAGCAAGGATAATTGGATTTGCGCTAGCTCTGGGAGGGTGACATTTACTATCACTGTCACTATAGGGTGACACTATACTAACATTTACTATCCACCAGGGCACTTTCTTAGTGAGGGGCAGGGGAGCCCAGCGTGCTGCAGTCCACGGGGTCACAAAGAGTCGGACACAACTTAGTGACTGAAAAACAAGGGTACTTTCTGGGAGGAATACAGGGCAAGAGGTGCAAACCAGGCTTATTCCAGGCAAGCCAGGTTCTGTGGTCACCTGGGAACATATATGTTTCCAACCTACTGATTTTCTTCAAGATTGCTGGTGCTCCTATTTCCTAAGCACAAGGGCTAAGCAGTGATTAGGGATGTGGGAAGAGCTGGACGTCTGTAGAACCCTAGATCTCTGACTATTGGACATGTGACTTGGACAATCCAGCCATAACCTCCTGTGTAAGATGGTCAAAATAGCGGCCAATAGGCTGCTGTGTGGATTGGGGGAATTAGAGAATATACATGTGATAGACAGAGTAAAGCTCTCTGCTCCAAAGATGTCCACATCTGGAACATGTGAATATGTTAGGTTATGGGATGGAGGGCATTGAGGGTACTCATCAGTGGACCTTGGGATGCCAGATTATCCTGGACTGTCCAGGTGGGCCCATAGAGTCATGAGGGTCCTGTGAGCAAGAGAGGGAGGCAGAGAGAGTGAAACTGTGTGAGAAAGACGGGATCTGGCATTGTTGGCTTTAGAGACAGAGGAAGGAGCCGCGAGCCAAGGAACGTGGAAGCTTCTAGAAGCTGTTAAAGAAAAGAAACAGATGCTTCCCTACAGTTGCCAGAAGGAATGCAGCCCTGTCAACACCTTGATTTTACCCCAACAAGACCCATTCTGGGGACTTCCCTGGTGCTCTAGTCTGATCCCTGCTTGAGACTTCACCTTCCAACGCTGAGGCTGTGGGTTTGATCCCTGGTGAGGGAGCAAAGATCCCACAGGCTTCTCAGCCAAAAAAAAAACAAACCACCCAAAACCCATAAAACAGAAACAATATTAAATTCAACAAAGAGACCCATAAATTCAATAATGAGACCCAATAAATTTAAAAAAGAGACCCATTCTGGACTTCTAAAATGGTAAGATGATAAGTTTGTGTTTCTTAAATTTATTTTTGGCTGTGCTGGGTCTTCGTGGATGCACGGGCTTTTCTTTAGTTGCAACAAGCGGGGCTGCTCTCCACTTGCAGGGTATGGGCTTTTCCGTGTGGGGCCTCGCTTGTTGTGGAGCACAGGCTCTCGGCATGGGCTTCAGTAGTCATGGCTCCTGGGCTCCCGAGCACATGCTCAATAGTTACACACAGGCCTAGCTGTTCCTCGGCATGGGGGTCTTTCTGCACCCGGGATCGGACCGTGTCTCCTGCATCGGCGGTGGAGGCTTTACCCCTGAGCCATCACGGAAGCCCAGGTCTGTGTTTTTAAACCACCGTGTTTGTGGCCATTTGCTATAGCAGCAGCAGGAAACTGAACCAGTACGTACGTACCAAGAAGAGGTCCTGGCACACAGCAAGTGCCATACAAGGAATTATATCACCAACAAAGGTGGAGACGGCCCGTCTATGAAATGTGCAGAGCTTGTGACCTACAGCGAATGGGTCCGTGATGGAGTCTTGACTCCACCATTTAACGAGCCATGTGACGCTGACCGAAGGGCTCAATCTCTTAGTGCTTCGATTCCTCTCAAAGTCCCCACGGCCAAGTTGGAGATGAAGTCTCAACATATAAATCTTGGAGGAATCAAACACTTAGTCTGGGGCATCAACCTTTTGACCTTTGTTCTGGATTTGAGGAAGCGAGGAAGGAGGGGAGAAAATATCCAATTTTCAGAAAGAATTTTTTTTTTACTTTTTAATTGAAAAATCTTTTTTCCTTCTTAAATATTCATTTATTTATTTGGCTGTATGGGGCTTGGTTGAGGCACACAGGATCCTTATTGTGGTGTGTGAGGCTGTGAAGTATGGGGCTCAGCATTTTCAGCTCGAGGGCTTACATACCCCTTGGCAGGGGGGAATCTTAGTTCCCCAACCAGGGAACGAACCCAAGTTCTCTGCACTGCAAGGCAGAGCCTTAACCACTAGACCACCAGGGAAGTCCCCCCAATTTTTAAAAAGGACAAAATAATGATGGAAAGTGAAAGTTGCTCAGTCGTGTCCGACTCTTTGTGACCCCATGGACTGTACAGCCCATGGGATTATCCAGGCCATAATACTGGAGTGGGTAGCCTTTCCCTTCTCCAGGGTACCTTTCCAACCCAGGGATCGAACCCGGGTCTCCTGCATTGCAGGAGGATTCTTTACCAGCTGATTCACCAGGGAAGCCCAGCTAAGTTTTATTATTTTTTTTAAGTTTAAGCATTTTTTTTGAAGTATAGTTGATTTACAACGTCATGTTAGTTCCAGGTGTACAAAATCTGAAAAAGAAGAGATAAGTTTTCTTTTTAAAAGCACACCAACTTCCCGGTCACTTTTCAGGCACCAGCTACGTGATAGCCATCATTCAAGGAAGGGAACATCATTCCACTTTACAGATGAAGGAAACAAGGTCTGAGGCCGTTGGGAACACACCCACTCACCCCTACAGACTAGAGACCGTAGCACTTTCTCTAGTCCTGGGCTGGGACTAGAAATGGGGCAGGGCCTGCCGGAGTTCAGATCCTCCACTGCTCCCACTTAGGATGGGAATCTGGTAAAAGGCAGCATGTAACTCTGACCTGACTACTGGAGGCATGAAAAAATCAAGCAGGCAAACCAGTTTTCAGGGTGTATTTCTGGAGCCTTTGCGATTCCAGACCTTTCGGGTCAGCTTTTCAAGGTTTCATGGGCTGCTAATCCCACAGGCTTTCAGTCAACTTGATTTTTCTATTTCAAGCATCCTCTCAGCATCAAAAAAAGGAACCGGCATGAAAGCAGGTAAACACAGGATGATGCTGGAGAGAGAGCAGTCTCTCCCTGAAAGGAAAATGTTGTGGCATAAGTCAGAACGATTTTCAAATCAGCTCAGAAGGATTTTTCTTACATCAAAGACCTGGGAGAATAAACTTCTTTCTCACCCTCTTGTTCCCCTTCCCTGGGGGCACATCCATGCCTCTGTTTAACAAATGATTACTGCGGATATATTCCACAGTTTCGAGAAGTGTTTTATAACCTACCTGAGGCTGAGCGACCTCTTGGGGAGAAGCCTATGCAGAGAGAGAAGAGAGGGAGAAAGACGGGGGGAGGAAGGAGGGGGATGGGGCTTCTCTTATAGCTCAGTTGGTAAAGAATTCCCCTGCAACACAGGAGACCCTGGTTTGATTCCTATGTCAGGAAGATCCCCTGGAGAAGGGACAGGCTACTCACTCCAGTATTCTGGTTTGGAGAATTCCATGGATTGTCTAGTCCATGGGGTCTCCAAAGAGTCGGACACGACCTTCCCTTTCACTTTTCACTTTGAGTGGGGAAGGGAGACAGGAGGTGGCAGAGAAGGACAGAACGGGGGTGGTCCCAGGGGTTGAACTCATCTCTCTCCTCAAGCCTGGTTTGGGAGGGTGACCAAGTCAAGTGCTTTTCCCTGTAAGGGCAGGGAGAAAAAGAGAACAGCCACCGCCCTTCTTGGGGATACCAGCAGAAGGCGTGTGGCAGCTGGTGGTTTGGGTTTCAACATCCATTGCTGTCAACAGAGTTTTGGCAGTTCCTCTTGGTCACCAGGGTCGTTTTGAATCCTCATTTTCTATTAGAAAGGGCTAATTGGGAAGCCGTTTGTAGAACGCGCCACCGTATGTTAGGCATTCAACAAACCATCCCAATTACAGGAGCCGAGCTGAGCGTAAGTGTGGCATCCAGGGTCTTTGACTCATTAACTCCAGTGGCCTCAAAGACAGCGTGCACACATTTCTCCCTCCTCTAGCTTGTCACTGTGAAAGCTTAGAAGTGGCCAAGCAGAGGGTTGAGTGGAAAAACGATGGGGCAATAATAATACGTTAAAACTCAACAGCACCTTCTGGCCAGCAAAGCACTGTCGAGTAATTTATCACATTTGATCCTCTCAATAGCTCTAAGGGTCCTCCTTGTCTCGAAGATGAGGTCACTTGGGTCCTGTCCTCTGGTCATAGGGAGAAGGAGATGGTACATTTTCCAGTACACTCCTGGGGCTACACTGGGTGCTCTGGATACTCAATTAAGAATAGCTGAGTCTCCTTTTTTTTTTTCCTTTTAATTTTTAGTTTATATTGGAACATAGTTGGTGAACAACATTGTCTTCATTTCAGGTGTACAGCCAAGTGACTCAGCTCTACATAGACAGGCATCTACTCTTCTTCCAAATCTTTTCCTATTTAGATTATTGCATTGCAGAATATTGAGCAGAGTTCCTGGTGCTATGCAGTAGGTCCTTGTTGATTATTTACTTTAAATATAGTGGTATGTACATGTCAATCCCAAACTCCCAATTTATCCCCCACACCAACCTTTCCCCATTGGTAACCATACATTTTTCACTTCCAACCATAAGTTTGTTTTCTGTGAACCTGTTTCTGTTTTTGTAAATAAGTTCATTTGTACCATTTTTGTTTTGATTCTACATATGAGCAATATCATAATTTGTCTTCCTCTGATTTTTTTCACTGAGTCTGATCACCTTGGGATCTATCCATGTTGCTGCAAATGGCTTTATTTCAAGGCATATCTGAGTCTTCTGACACCAGGCCTAAATGGTCTTTATTTTTCCAGTTTCCACTTTGTGGGGAAATGTGGTCACTAACAGAGAGAATCTTCAAGGTCTCTCAAGAATTTGAGGAGTCTGGTCCTCTGACACATCAGAGAAAAGACGTGTGTGCCTCACAGCACTCTGATTTTGGACCACACTCCTGAAGGTTGCCTGACCCACCACGATGGTGTTATGGGACCAGGGCAAGACTCATATTTTATTGTCAACTAGAAGGTCCAGACAGTATTAAATATTGCTTGGTATCCATAAGGCTTAAAGTCCCCATGCCTTAGTATTTACCCCTCTGAATATTAAGATCCTTGGCATTGCAGCTTCCATGAATTATGAATTACCTTGAGTAGCTCTTTTAAAAAATCCTGTGTCTATTGTGTTAACAGGTCTCTATAAATACTCAAGACATCTTGACTGTTCCCTTCTTTAGAGACTTAATTCTCCTGTCAGTGATATTAAAAGGTCTCCAATGGCTGTTAAGGGCATTTACAAGAGAGGTTGATTAAATCTTTTATATCATATTTTACTTTGGATATTGATGTCATGCACACAGTAAATGAATGGTTGCAAATGTCACTAACAGGCAGTGGTAAGATGACAAACAGTTCATAATTGGATTCAGCTAGTACTCAAAGGGTTTGAATCCCAGAAGTACCATGGACTTCTGGTCCATGGGAGTAGGGCTCCCCCATCAGTAATTTTCTAAATTTGTCAGTCACTCCACTGTGCAGGCAAGGCTGAAAAGTGCCATGCTAAATCACCCCATGCCAAAGAGAGAGTAAATGGATAAAATCACTCTTACTTGTTCTTTATCTGACCTTACAACTAAAACAACTAAATTACAGTGTGTTGGGTCCCCAACTAGAGTCTATTTTAAAGCTGTATCTACTAAGGTGGGTTTCTCAATACACGATGCACATGGAATCACCTGATGAACTCCCAGAGGAACAGAAATCAGAGGTAAGAGCTAGACATCTGGATTCAGGGGGGCTGTGAAGGGGTCTAGGCACAGGCATTTATCAAATGCTCCAAAGGCAATTCCAGTGAAGAGCTGGCATTAAAAACCATGGGTTTATCAAAATATCTTAAGGGGAAAGCATGCCAGTTTTAGGTGAGATGGTCTTGAAGTAAGAGCCAGATGCCAGACAGTTTATTTACAGAAACCTCAATGATTCAAGGGCCTGGAGCCAGGAGGCAGACATGTATTGTGTGGGTGGATGGTTTCTCATGGCTTGCAGATTAAGCTCTGGACATCTGACAAACATGTTGACCAGAAATCATTTGACAGAGTGCTATGTACAATTAATAAATTGTGTCCTGTGCAATATTAACCATTTTACTTCATGAATATGTGTATTGCCTAGGGTTTACTATACTTTGATTATGTAGCATCTTATGTAATAGTACCAATAAACCAATGCACAGGCCTATATATATGAAAAAAAACCAAACTGTGGGATTAGGCTTTGGCTCCCCACGGTGCATCTGGCAATGTGGAGAGACATTTCTGTTTGTCACAACTGGGGTAGGGGGAGGAAGGTACTGGCATCTAGTGGGTGGAGACCTGGAATGTTGCCCAACATCCTATAGTCCACAGGGCAGTCCATAGCAAAGAAGGGGACCGAAATATTGAAAGAGTGGCTCTGGGAAAGGCCCTACTAAGGCATCACATTCATCACATGCATTACTTTAAAGTATCAGTAAAGTCTGTGCTTATATCAGGATATTATGAAATTACAAATTTTTTTATGTAAAGTGAACCCAAACTAAGTCAAAAGACAAAAGAAGACAAAACAAAATAGCCCAAACACTGTCAAAAATCCACCCAATTCTATTTTGGTTTGTGAACTAAAACACTGAATAAACACTGATGATCAATGTTTTGACAAGCTTGTTTATGCAGCATTTTGACAGCATTTATTTAGACTTCACTGGGCATTCTTAAAATGGCATTGGGCAGTATTAAGCTGTTCAAAAGCTATCTTGTAAAAATATAGGATTATTTAAATCTCAGGTAGCTTGAATATTTCTTTTTCTTTTGCCAGTGGATTTTAGAAAATGAAGTTAGAAGCTCATGGGTGACTTGCTATGTGAAAGTTTATACACTCATCTGGAACACCTTTAGCTGGAGTAATTTAATCTAAATTTTTACTTGCTACTAATCAAGAATTAAGTGTCTAGTTCTAGGCTAGGATTAGAAGTCAATACAGATTTCAGAGTGAAAGTATTAAGTGTTGCATTAACTATCCATCCTTGTTAGCCATTGTTTGATCCACCGGGGAATCTTTGTTGTCTAAGATGCTTCATCTATGCAAAAACGACAAACCTTGCTATCGATCTCGCTGCTCCCCAGCGCAGACTGAATCACATAAAGCAGCGCGTCCGTGAGCCCGTCACATTCCCGCATTCTCCTGCGGGCCTCCTCTCCGGCTGAACTAACATTCCTGCAAAGCAAAAGGATGTATCAGAACCCTTCACAGTGGCCACCAAAAGAACGTTCTTCCATGCCCACCTCTTCTCATTTGTTCTTCTTTAGTCCGCGACATATAGCATGCGGGACCTTAGTACCATGACCAGAAATCCAACCCGTGTCCCCTGCATTGGCAGGCCAGAGTCTTAATCGCTGGATCACCAGGGAAGTCCCTTCCTCTCAAAGTTTTAATGAAAACACTTTGCTAGCCTTTTAGAAGGTTTACCAAGAATGTAGTTTTAATGAGGGGGGAATGGCCTACACAAACGGACTCTAGAACTGGATGAGCCACAGATATCTGCATCAAAACAGAGAATGCAGAATTCTGAACCCGTGATCTGTGAGTGTCCTGTGACCACTAAGAAAGGAGACTTTGTAAAAGTCTTCAAGGTCTGCTTCTTTTACAATCGACGAGGGAATCAGAAGCTCTTTGATTCAAAGGGCTGTTCTTCTTTGAAAAGTTTGAAATACTTTTCAAAGACAAAGTTTCCAACTTACTGACAGATCTTAGAGGTCTCATTTCACCTGTCTCAAAAAATATATCTACCTTGGCCCTGCCAGAGGAAAATTCTAGAAGCTTACTCTAAGGACACAGAGATTTCTCTGAGAAATTAGTCATCAGAATGCCCATGGCACCTTTTATGCAGGAGTGGCCCAAGTTCCTTCCTACAATGGCACAAACTGAGCTAAAGGCAATAGAAGGGGCCCCTTTAATGGAATGCACAGCTGTGAGGGGAGTGAACCTCCAGACCCACAAAAGACATCAGATGATCCAGACAAAGGTGAATTTCCCAAGTGCTTTAATTACTCCACCACCTGAGAAGGTCTTCTTCCTCTCCCAACCATGGCCAGGATTTGGTTCTAGCAGAAAACTTTTTCAGGGCTTCCCAGGTGGTGCTAGTGGTAAAGAACCTTCCTGCCAAAGCAGAAGCCATCAAGACGAGGGTCCAATCCCTGGGTCGGGAAGACCCCCTGAAGCAGGGCGTGGCAACTCACTCCAGTATTCTTGCCTGGAGAGTGCTATGGACGGGGAAGCCTGGAAGTCCATAGCATCACAAAGTGTCGGACGCCACGGAAGTGATGCAAGCACAGAACACTTTTGCAGCGACTGATTTACAGACAGCACAGCCTACGGGGCGGGTAGGCTGAAGGAGGTGAGGAAACGGAAGGCACAAAGAGGCTGAAAAGTTTAGCAACTGTGGCAAAGGGTGATGAGAAGAGATAATGATCGAGGCAAGACAATAATGCTCAAGCTATGTAGCCTCAGAGTTGCCTGGAGGGTGTGTTCACGCTGACAGTTGGGCCCCACATTGGCATCATAGGTGGAGTTGGATAATTTGCATACTTGGTGATGCTGACGTTGAAGATCTACACTAAACTAGAGCTGTAACGGGGAAGAGTCAATTTTGACTCATCCGTGCTAAATCTGTTTCTTTGACTTTAACCCTGTTTTTTTTTTTTTGCATTTTTTTGTTATTATAATCATACACATGATGGCCTGCCTCTCAGAGTGGGGCGCTTTGCCTGACTGTTAAGCTAAAGTGCCTTTGTTCAGAATCCTGTCCACCTGTAGGTGGCTGGAAGAAAGTAATTAACACATTCCCCCTGCCAGAGGCTTGCCACTGTAGGAGGTATTTGCAAGATTAATGGCCTTTTTTTACTTTGTTTCCTCCCCTCCCCCCATCTCTGATTTATAAAAGAATCTGGCATCCACACTCTGGCAAGATGGTTATTTTGAGACCTTAGTCTGCCATCTTCTCAGTCAGCTGGTTTTCCAGATGAAGCTGTATTCCTTGCCTCAACACCTCATCTCTCAGATTCACCGGCCTTTCCTACGGTGAACAGGGAGAACTTAGACTCAGTAACAGCGTTACCTCTGGTTCTAGGGGTGGGCAGGAGTTTGGTTGGGGAGGGTACTGTACTTTGCTAGAGCAAGTCATGTAGCAGATTCCAAGAGTCTGTGGCCTTAGAGCCCACAGGAGTAGCTGAACAGAACAAATCTCTGAACCCACGCTATAACTGACACACAATTCTCATTTCATTTCCCCAACATCCTTGCCTGTTACATTTCATTCGGTTTTACAGATGAGAAAGGCAGGCTCAGATGGGGTGTCCGAGGCCCCACGGGTGGTAAAAGTGGAGACATTAGAACAGAACCCAGGTCTGTGAAGGAGAGAAAAGCAAAGGGCTTCCAGCTCGACATACAACAGGGACTACATTTTTCAGGAATTAAATAAAAATAAATATATTTAATTCCAAAATGCTACTGAACATTCATGCTTTCTTTAATATCTAAAAAGTCCTGCAGACATGTTTAAAGAGGATCAATCAGTATTTTAACGTTAACACCACCGGGAAAGGTTATTCAATGAAAATTAGAATTTTTGGTATTTGCTGATCTTGAAACATAAACAAAACTCCTCAGTGCCTCAGACAATGTAACTGAGCAAATGTGGGCAGCATTTTTACGTAAAGTGTTAGAGATTCCACCTTGGGATGGCCGATCCTTTCCTGGCAGCATCCCTGGGAGGGAGGAAGACATCTTTCTGTGAAAGAAGTGGTGACAGGCACACTGGTATTATTATTAAAAGGACGGCCTTTGCAGGAGAGCATTTTTAGACCCAGAAGTGATTTTCACCACATCAGGTTCTGATGCTGTTAGAGCCCAGTCAGACCTCTTTGGTCAGAAAAGTGCTGAGTGCAACGAATGACTACCTTTTCCTACTTTGATGAGGTCATGTTTCCAAAGACAGAATGACAGAAAGTTAGACTTGAAAGAACTGTAGAGACAGACAGCTCACGTGCAGTTTAGTCTCAAACATTCTCTACCCCTTTTCCTTACCCATAAATACTCAGTCTTTCCTTAGAGTAGCTTTACAATGGGGATGGCTGCCTCCTAATTCACAAATAAACATCACTCTGATCAGCCCTGTTTTCACTGGTCATCAACGAATGGGCAGGGCCAGCCAATGGGAAAGATCAAGAATTAACAACTTTGTCAACATCATACCTTTTCAATACTAATTTTCTTTGAGTTTCTGTTTGATTTTAGTCCAGTCTCTGCCAAATATTTTTAAAAGTTATTAACAGGCTACAAAAAGAACATGTGTAATATACTGAGAAATGAGAAAGACTAATGGGGTCCCAGGAAGGACAAGGAAGTGATTAGGACACACACCTAAATCTCCCCCCACCCCCTCTCCAGTGGTGCAGGGTGGGGGCTGGGCAGGAAGGTACCACAGTGCCTCCAGTAGGATGAGGCATCATATATGTTAATATTTTTAAGTGAACTGAGGTGTGAACATGTCTCTCTTTCAATGGCTAAGAGCATCCTACAAGCCTTTGGGGTTAGGTTTCCACTTTTATTCCTGAGTGAGTGAAACATTTCAGAAGATTACCTTTGATTTTTACCCTTTGCCCCAACACAAAATTTACTGTACTTGTGCGTTTCGCTGTTTAAAAATAAAAATTCCAATAACCTTGTGTGTTGGTCACTGGTTGTAGTTATGGTCCTATATAAGTGACTGCATACGAGTCTGATAAACAGCCAGTGTCCAGCCTACAAAGTTCCTCCCTCCTGATGTACTTAGACCATCTTCTACTCATTTTGAGGGAGGTGATTTCCATGTCTGGGTAGAACCTGGTGCAGCAAAATTTCTGTGCATAAAAGTTAACACTGAAACAAACCCTTATAGATATTTTGTAAAAAAAAAAAAAAGGCACAATGATACTGTAATATCTATTTCTTAGAAATAATCACTATAACCTTGATCGAATTGTCAGTTGATACAGTCCCTTGGACTGCAAGGAGATCTAACCAGTCCATCCTAAAGGAAATCAGTCCTGAATATTCATTGGAAGGACTGATGAAGCTGAAACTCCAATACTTTGGCCACCTGATGCGAAGAGCTGACTCGTTTGAAAATACCTTGATGCTGGGAAAGATTGAAGGCAGGAGGAGAAGGGGACGACAGAGGATGAATGAGATGGTGGGATGGTATCACCAACTCAACAGGCATGAATCTGAGTAGACTCCAGGAGTTGGTGATGGACAGGGAGGCCTGGCATGCTGCAGTTCATGGGGTCACAAAGAGTCACACATGACTGAGCAACTGAACCGAACTGAACATAATTTGGAAATTTCTGCTTAAAGTAGATTCTATAATCTTTTCATCGCTCTTCTTTTCTCCACCCAACCCGATCCTTGGCATTTATAACCTGGCCTCCACGCAGGGTCTTCTCATACCTGGCCCACCTCCAGCCCTTGAGCCCTGGGTTCCAGCCCTGTTAAATTCCTTACCATCGTTCGTACAGCACCCCCACAACTCACCAGACTGTTGCTCACCAGGCAACTTTGTCTCATCTCCCAGTTTATAATGAGCAGAGCCCAGATGCTGGGTCTCTACAGAATCTGGGCTGGGTTCCTGAGACTCTATACAAGCGTGAAGAGGGGCACAGGGCTGCCAGAGGCTTCAGAGAGCAGAGCTGAGTACACTTCAAGGGACACAGGTAATCTGGAGGCAAAACTGAAATATGAAGCCACGCACTGTCCCGAAGCCAGCCTACCAGGACAGGCATGGGGAGAGGCAGAATCCACAGACCTGATGTTCAAGCTGGTCCCTCCCTGATGTGGGGGAGGGGTGGGCACGCTCTCCACAGTGAGCTGCTGGCAGCTCAGGTGGGCTTCTCGGAGTGCCAGGCAGTGCAGCACCAGACCTTCTCCTCCTGCCTGGTGTAGATCAGCAGGAGTAAGCAGGGAAACACTTAGGACATTTGGGCTCCCCTGCACCTGCTTGGTGAACTCATGTCTTTCCAGAAGCATTTCCAGTGTTACCTTTTTCTGACATCTCACCCAGAGAGCAGAACCAAGGATGACAGAGGATAAGTCTCTGGCTTTGAAACCTTGCAACTGGGATTTGCAGGGATGGGTTTCCAAGCTGCTTTGGCCCAGTACTCCATTTTATTTTCCACGTC